CCGCCCTTGCCGCAACGCGAATGTGTTGAACATCCCGTTACCAATGACGATGCCAACACTCCTTGACGAATCAAGCGGAGCTAACCTCAGGAAGACTGCCGACGAGGGTGAGAAGCTCACCAGTAACGCCAAGAGGGTACAGGACGATGAAGAATGTATACCTTAAATAATAGATTTTTCATATTTTGCATGCTACAAGTGTGCAAAGGGGGCGTAGACGACGATTTTTCTCCCATGGCTCTGATTGGCTCAAACTCCACAAATGTTCATGTGAGTACTCTTGAAGATCTATTATTTAAGGTATACATTCTTCATCGTCCTGTACCCTCTTGGCGTTACTGGTGAGCTTCTCACCCTCGTCGGCAGTCTTCCTGAGGTTAGCTCCGCTTGATTCGTCAAGGAGTGTTGGCATCGTCATTGGTAACGGGATGTTCAACACATTCGCGTTGCGGCAAGGGCGGCAAAAACGTGTCACGCGCGCGGCATTCGCACCGCAGAGTTGACTCGACTCTGTAGTGCCGTGGTGTGTCAAGTCAAATAGATAACAAGTACTCTGCTATTTTCCGCGCTGTGCCACTTCTCGCTTGTACTGAGCTACATTCATGGACCGCTCTTAAGTGTTACTTCAGGGTTTTTTTCATTTTACAGGGCACAAAGTTGTCTTTTTCTCTGAATCTTGGAGCGGAAAATTGGAAAGTGCTTTTTTCTAGGTTGCCGAGAAGAAGTACTACTCACTGGAGATGCCCAATGCGCTCAATATGGGTATCTCCTTCTACTGGGTATTGATTGGAGCAGCATTGTTCTACATTCCGGGTGAGTTTAGCGCGTTCTCAGTGGGTCGGTGAACCTGCTTTTTGGCGCTGGTCGAAAATACTGGGGCATATGGGCGCAAGTGAAAAAGTGCTTTCCGCCGAGCCTGGGGGAAAGGTTCCCAGGTTCGTTAGAACTGGATCATCCACCCGGAGCTCCTTATTCTAGGTCGCTTTCATACTTTGGGACTGATGATATCCGGCGATTAGAGAGACTCGGCATTGGAAAGACAGCACGGTAAGGAAAATATAGGTATCGCCCTGGTGATTGGAGTAATTCGGCAATCCGGCGCCGGATCGCCAAGTCTGCAGTCGCTAACAACCGGCCCGATCGATACCCATCCATTCCTTTGGCACGCAATTGCCCAAAACGCCGTGTCACCCAAAACACCGGGTCGGCGATCTCTCCGATCGCCATATCGATATATAGTCTTTCGGAATTCGTTCCTTCACATCACAGCAGTAACAGCTGCCTAACGGGAGGAAAAAACCGAAGAAATGACGTGAAAACGAAGCGTGAAAGGTATAAAGTGCCCTTGAGTGAAATTGCGATTACCGTAGTCCGACGTACTATCCCGCCAAAAGTCCTTGTGTAGTTGACTAGCGCCCTTTTTTACATTCTTTTGCGCTGTAGTGTTTGATAATCAATGTAACTTGTTCTGTTCGTAAATATTCGTTCATTTAGGTTTCCCTCAACTCTACTTCTATATGTTTGCTCAGCGTAAAAAGGTGCTATCTACTGATGCAGCAAAGAAGAGGATGTAGAACGAGTAGATGTTCCTATGTATAAATTTAAATTACTTTATGTTATTAAAGATTACATTCATCAACCAGAAATCATTATACCTCTTTCCGGCTTAGTTTTCTGAGTCAGGAAATAAATAGTTGTTATTTTGAGAGTGTTCGTGTTTGGATACGAACCAGGGCACCGTGGTTTAACCCTCAAAAGCTTTTCTGGTGGGCGAGCGGTTAAGCCATGACTAAGTTTTCTCAGCCGTCCTTCATTTTTCTCACAGTCTACAACGAGTGCTTTTTCAGCTAAGTGAGTTCGTTTTAGCTTAGGCTTTATTTTCCGGGACTGACTTCTCTGCTGTTTAGGTCAGTGAGTAACATGTTATCCACTGCGTCCCAGGTAGCGGTAGTACACATGTAAACATTTACGCAAACGTAATAGACACATTTTCTGGCCACATGAGAGGGCGTGGCTGTATACTTTTAATTGAGCTGGCGTGGGCTATTACCATTTGAGACAACTAAGCTGCTCTGCGCGGAAAAGAAAAATGGCGACAATTGCCACATGAGAGCAATATTCCACTAAACAAGTTGCCGTCTATCTTTCCCATTTGAAGTCAAGTACGTAGTCACGCCTTATTTTTTCTTCAGGACACGGTTCTTCTTCCACGTGCTTGGGAATCCCCAATACACAGCGCATTCTGTAGTAAAGTCTTCTCACATCTGCTGATCCCAGTAATTGCAAATTCTGCCTCTTGCTGCTGCAAAACTGCAATATGAGTCCTGAGAGAACTTCAACAGGGGATTCTACAGGGGGGGAGGGGAAGGAGCGCACTCTACAAGCCTTCGCAATTGTCGTTCAAGCGTTTCTACAGTACAAGTGAGCATCTGATAGAAATCCATTTATGGAAAGCAGAAATGAGGAGATGATACTGGACAATTTGAAAGCATGTCGGTTCCCGAACTCCGGAGCTCGAACTCACTGGTCTCCTTCGATGATAGAAAGGTCTCATAGCCTGTAATTCCCAGTGTATCTTACAAGTCCTTGAACGTTTCAGAAAAGTACCTTACCTTTCCATAGTGTGCTTTGATGCCGATTATCGTTTCTCCTTCTCTTATTTCTGTGTGCTAAGCACAGATTGTATGGACTTCGAAACGTCCGATATCCTGGTTGGAATACCGAGTAACTTACGAACAGCCATGTTAAACGGCCTTACAAAGTACAACGTCACAAATGGGCTGGTTGCTGGATAGAAGCTAAATATTCAAGAAATGTTATGTAGTACGCGATGGACCCTGCGGATGCTAGGACATGTTAATGGGTGGGAACTGACGAGGTGCCAGCCCCTTCCTCACCAACTTGTTGAAGGAGACAAGTTACCACAATTGGTGGGGACGGGCTGGTGCCGCGCCAAACGACTCCCCTGACACGCCCTAGTATCCGCAGCTGTTTGGACTCTGGAGATTTCGTAGCTTTACACGGCTTTACAGAATTGCTCGGCATATTCAATTAGTTCTATTATTTTGGAAGCATACCTGAATAACACGTAGACAAGATATTCAATAATTGTAAAATTAATAAGTTCAAGGTGATAAAGACCATAGATAAATATGGGCGGGAACAAGAAGAACATTGGAAGTGAAGCTTGAATGATGAGAGCCTGAGATGCACATTAGTAGCAGTTTGATGGAGCAAAAAGCTATAAGTAGAACCTCACCTGCATGAGCCTCCGATGCCCTTTGATGGTGGATTCACGCATGGTCTGAAAAATACAATGTAAACTGTAGGTCCAGAAATCTTATTGTAGGATAGCGATTTTTAATGATTTGCAGAATGCAATTCCTCTTTTTCGTAGATCTCCATTTTGTTGCAGAGGTACACTCGAAATCCCTGAGATGAGGTAGGCGTGGTTGCGTACTTCAATTATCTGGGGCTGTGACTGCCCTTCTGGAGATATATTTCCATTTTGACGTAGTTCGTGATCATGTCTCTGTTCAACACTGAACAAGATGACAGTTGCCTCAAACTGAAATATCCCACGAGTAACCCATTCTATGCCATGTTCAAATGCCACGCCTACTCTACACAAGGGATGAGGAGTGTCACGGATTAGAACGACGGCGGTGGCAGGATGGTCGGGCACAGGGAACGAATCCTACCGATTTCCACCAACCCTTCCGTCTGGTGTACCTAGTTGCAGTAGGTTTGCCCTGGAGGGTGAACCTACTAATTTGAACCTCGGCTGGCCCTCATAAGTCATCATGTTGACCGAACGCTTATTCAGATACACCTACGATTACGGACGGAAGTGGTACGCACGGCGCACCCCAAGAGGCCGGAAGCAGAAATTTGATGTTTTACCATATCGCCCGGCGCTGGAATGCGCCTCAAGCCTCGAGTGGATTTATAGCTGATGAAAATCGAATTTTACAATAGTACCCAATCAATAACACCCATCAAGGGGACCTATACTAAAGTTCGCTGCGGACGGTTGGGCGTGTCAGGCAGTATGAGTGTGTCACCGTCAAAACCGTTCTCTGCCTTCTTGTTGAAGCGCGCATGCGACAAAAAGTGGTAGAAAACGAGTAATACGAACGATATGATACAGTTTGCTCGCTTTAACAACTGGTGGAGAACGGGTTTGGCACCGCGCCAAACTCATCCCGCCTGACACGCCAACCGTCCGCAGCGAACTACACTGTAGATTACCCATATTCCGAGTTGAAACCACATCGCCCACAATCCTCGTTTGCGATACTGCTCGGGTTTAGGGCGCTGACGATAGTGAAGGGTATCCGATGGCTTGCTGACCTGTGATAGCAAATCAGCAAATTCGTTCTCGAAAGTCCAGCGCTTTAATATAAGCTACTCAGTCGGGCTAAGCTCGACAACTGGATATCCCTCACCATATTCTTTGCGTTGCCCTATTTTGATGCAATCAAGAATGGAAACAAACAACTGTAGCTCTCACATAAGAGTAACTCGGGTCTAAACATCAATGAAATTACTATTTTGCGGGCCACCAGGCAATTCCGTTTTATTGTTTCTTGTGATTACACTGCAGAACTATTTTGCAAGCACTGTTTTTTGGAAAAACATCTCCACCAAATCTCGAACAGCAAACGATGCGCATACTGTTAGTTAATGGAGATGACAATAGGAGCTACATCAAGCTTGGGAAGAGATTCTGTCCACTTTGAAAGAAATCGATTCTACTGTTTTCGGCTAATACAATTAGAAATAGCTAGCATATGAGCTATTGCTATCGACAACATGCGGTAGTTGATGGCGTAACAATCACTTGGGTTGGTGACAGGAGCTTGGAACGAGCTCGCCAGCGGCGGTTTCTATCACGGGTTTTTTAAACCTAAACCGATTACTACTGGTGGCAAAGGCAGCCGGGGTGGGACTCATTCCACGCCACCTGCGGGCTCCGCCCCAATTGACTGCCACGACATCAACTATAAGCCATTGGTTGGGAGTATCATTTCTACAAAGGCCTCGAGATTTTAAAACGAGAAGTTCGTCAAGGCCGTACTTGTTGGTCCCCGCCGACGAGCTTCTTGAGTTGGTTTAGCAGCAAAAGCAGATAGTAATCCACTCTGGTGAATACGGTGAGTGGGACGGAACGCGCCATCTCAAGCTTTGAAGTTGCTGCTCTTTCCTTGGCTGTTGCTCATGGTTCTAATAGGAGAATTTGCTGGCTCTTCCGTGAAGCAGTTTCCAGTAATGATAGCTGTAGTCTTACTAGATATTGAACATCACTTCTGAGGTTGGAGTTCGTTGAAACCCCTGGTCCAAGCTGCTTTCGCTTCCGTGCGTTGTTGCAAACAACGCACCTCTCGTCGTTACCTAACAAGCTGTCAAGTCAAGCGAGTGTTTTTCGGAAGGATTTGTTCATTTGGGCGCCCCTTTCCAGTTGAAGTTGTGGCAACTCAAAACATTTCTGCGTTTCCTTTTTTATGTGTGCCGCTGTCAACAGAATGCCGATAATAAACCATAAATCATAATTTTTTCATGCTTCGATAAATAGCGTTGAGAACCAGTGAATATGACGGGTTACTGTGTCGTGGTGATGCTGAAGATTCCGGCTAGATCACAGGATTCACTTCGAATCCCGCTGCTAATAAACCTAAAAGGGGTTTTTATGCACTTCAACCTGCCGGTCAGATCGTGGTTCGTCAGCTAAGCCGAAGTCGCCATTGATAGACTCGTTGCATATGTATATCCTCATATCCCAAAGATTGGGAGGGCGTGCATATGCATTCATGAGTAAGCGGTGCAGTGGCTGCGTACCTGTGGACACTCGCAGTCCATGGTAGAGAGGATTAGGAGGCATATCGATTTCCCTTGTGCCGTCTGCGTCCTCTTCCGATCACGTCGCCTGCATGGCGGACTGAACAGTCTGCTATCTAGCGCCGCCACGCACATAACTAGGTCTTCGACACACCCATATTTATCTCTTCGGTATAAGCTGCGCAATGGTGTGCTTACTGGACTCCCATAAGCTTCAAACCTGCTTAGGGCCAGGGACAATTTCAGAAGTTATTATTGCAACGGCAATTCATTAATTATTATGGAGGCCTCTATCCACTTTGATCTTCTTCATCATCCTAACGTTGCATCCTTTGCTCGATCTAGTGCATCCGCTTTACGGAGGATGTACTAGATCGGGCAATGTGGCGATTGTCAATCCACTTTGTAAAATGTGGCAATATTCTATCCACTTTTATATGTGCTCTAATTAGAGCCTACTAATTATAAAGTTAGTACAAATCAGCAAGGTTAAAACTCACCACTGTACTGTCGTTGAGAACTTGATGAACTTTTTTATAGAAATATATAACAATCACATAAACAGGAAACATTGGCAGTACAATTGTCGCTAAGGTCACGGAGGTGAGTGGGCTTTTGACCATATGGTTTCCAGTAACTATGAATTCCGTGAGATTGTAATGCGGTTTGTTAATAGCCAGGTAGTCTCGTATAAGTTGTGGGTCTGATTCGGAGAAAATGAATAAAATCTAAAAAGGAGTGGTTGATCTCTTCTTGATGAAGCTAACATGTATTGATAAAAGGTTTTTTTGAAATCCAGTTAGCGCGGTTTTGGGCTGAATGCAGTCTCACATTTTGGCCTCATTCTTTAGCATTCATAAGAGCTGACGTGATATAGTGAGAGCGTTGGCGCTTGAGATGTCCGTTATGTATGTTTCCGTATCCAGGAAGTGGGGAGGGCGTGGCTGCCTAGCTCATCTGAAATAGCGCGGCATGTTTTCTTCGTGGGTTACTTTCCGTTGAGACATGATTGCAATTCTCCTCCCCCTCTCCCCTCCCGCGGCAATACCCTACCGCGTCACTCTTCCAAGTGAAGTGGCAGACACAGTCGCGTCCTCCCCATTTCCGGTGCATGGACTGATTACGTGAGCGCACAATGAGGTCTACTGAGAGCTGAATTTTAGGTCACCCAGAATGGCTCTCTAACGGGGTACAGGATCGGTGGATGGAGTGACAGTGCCACGACAGTCTCCCCGAAATTTCTCTCCTCAGTACGATCTCCCCCCACTACTTCTTACGCGGCCGCATCAATGCAGTGGTAGAGGAGAGGGTGATATAGCGGCGCCTGGAACAAAAATCAAAAAATCTCCCCTCATAACATTGAAGAATCTCTCCCGGCGCCGAATACGCTGCCATCCCCCATCGACAAAATATGATCCTAGTGGATATCAGGGCCCGTCGTACGTTGGGGAGTCCCCAGTGGGGGAGGTGACCGTAATTGCCTCTGGGAGAAATTTGCCACGTTGGGGAAAAACAAAAAAATTCTAAATGTGAGCTTGTCCGGTTTTTTCACGTTCCTTGAGTGTTGTACACCCCCCTGGATCCACTTGACAGCAAAATTGAGGAATAGTGGAATTTCTAGGAAACTTCGGAAAAGGTGGTAGGTAGAATGGTTCAGGGGTCATACCGCAAGAGGAAGCTCAAGGGGATGTCGCATTTTCCGAAAATATTCCCCAGCGGCAGGAAGTGCCCTGAGTGGGGCTGCTCCAATAACGCTGTACTCCATTCTCTAAGCCAACTTTGCATTGGGAATTTTGTTTAATTAATGCTTCTATTCATTGAATTTTTCAAGCGCATATTCCCCTCCAGACAATAAATTAAGTGTACACTTCTATTTTCTGTGAATGATAGAATGAAACTCGTCAAAGTCGTTTATCGCATCGACGACGTTTCGGGCTTTAAGCCCTTCTTCAGGTCTACAAACATCACATTTTCTATGTTTATCATTTCAGTGCTTCTATTCATAACGTACATACGTTGCACGCATGAAGAAACGTCAAAGAACGTTCAGCTTCGGATAATTCTTCCTTCCTGATGTGCCACATATTCCACCTCTTTTAAAAGGAGGATGACGTTCAAAGCAAGCGGTTAGGTTGTATGCGTCCTTGCCTCAGTAGCTTGCCAGGACAGGAGATTCACAAAGGTCTACATAGGAAGGCCTATTCAAGAGAGCGCAGACGGCGCAACAAAAATAGTCGATGCACTTCTCACACCTCTTCGTAGGGCAGTTTTCTAGAACGACTTTGGGAACCCAAATTTCTTCTTCCCTTAGGGTTGTCGCTCTAATATCATACTTGCGCAATTAACAAAATTGTTCCTAAATCTCGCCGATGAGAGGGATTTATATAGCGCGCGTTAAACAGGGAGAATCGAAAAATGTCTACCAGGCCATTTACGACCCTCGCCCTGGCAATAAAATCGTTGCGCGCCCATTGAGGATGAAGATTCCAGAATACAACCTCCCTCTCAAAAGTTCCTTCTCTGGCACGACTCTTTCTTCCTCATCCTATTCACACTTCCTTGAAATTTTCCAACTTCACACCCCCTAGCTCATTTCCAAAATTTTCCCCACAAAGTGCTCCACTTCCCACTTTCCATTTTTTGTGTGGTGGAAAACAAGGGAGGGGGGGGGTACGGGGGATATTACATGCATTACAGAAAGAACCAAGGAGAAACATTTGTCCCGAATGCAATGTGTACTACCTCGCTCCAGCGACCAAATGCGACCCTCTCGCTGTACGTAGGACGTTCCCTGCTTCTCTTGCTTCTCTGTGGCACGATAAATCCCTTGCACGAATAGGATTAATGCGCATGACAGTACCAACTTCCACGCCCCTGAGCAGACGCTGCATAGAGCCTTCTCCAAAAAAAGGTT